CAACTTACCTTCAAATTGGCGAACAACTTGTGACTGTGTTTGTTTGAAAACATGGTCAACTGACACTTGTCCTGCAATAAGTGTGCCCCGTACTTTTATAAGAGCTGTAATTATTTGGTCAACTTGATGCTGGTAACCCCTAAAGCACACACACACACACAGAACACAAGACAGTTTATTGCCCATCAGTTTTGCAAAGGCGAGTCCTACTCAAAATTTATGCAAGACAACAACAACAGCAAAGAAAGAGCTGAAATTGCCTATTTACTTTAAAAATTATTTTCACTTGACTGAAAAATCATTATCCACAAGGTAACACAGACCGTTTGTTCAACAACAACGCTCCGATGGTGGCCACAGGGAAGGCAGTAAAGTCCAGGCCCCCTCGTCCCACGTCCCTTGCCCGATGCACGATGTCCGATGTCCGATGTCCGTCAACTGATGGCATGACTGGACATGCGTTCGTTCAGCTTATCCTATCCTCTTGCCCCACTTTCCCACTCTTCCTCCTACTCCTCAACAACTTTCGCCCTGTGTTGATTGTATGGACGCTGGGCACTTTTGTAAGGATGGGTGGGCTGGGCACATTATGTGTGTATGAAAGGATAGAAACCTGTCTCTGACAAGTCATCGTCAGCTGTCAACTTATTCTTTTGAAGTGTATTTAGTTGTGTTGTTGTCGTTGCTGTTGTTGTGGTTGTTGTTGTTGTTGTTGTTGCTGAACTGGGTGGTTGGGCGTCCATTCGTTTGGTCATTCATTTCAGACCCACCCAAATGACTGAAAGATTGAATGAAGCGTACGTCGCTAAGTTCGTCAGTTTGTCAACTTAGGTTCATTTTCTCTTCTTTGACTCTGTGCGTCAGTAGTTGGACTGATGCTGTTGACACTGGCATATATAATATAAAGTAACGGTACAGTTAGTGTCCAGCACTGGACAAAATGTCAACCGTGTCCAATAAGCGCAGACAAAGCCACACACACCCACATACGCAATCAGTATGTGTAGGATGACATCTCTCCATTGTTGAAATAAAAATATATATCAAAATATTTTAAAGTATTTCGAAATAGTTTAAGAAATCCCATTCAATAAAAATAAAGATTTGTGATGCGTTTTAAGCATACACATGGAGTACAGTTCGTTCCTTAAACATGTTTAAAGGCAAAAGAATTGGGCGGGTAAATCATTAACCTATATACATATAGGGTACATATAGGGTGAATATTGAAGAATGGAAGTTTTCAATTGATATTGGTGTACATGAGGTTAATGGCTTTTCAGGCGCTTTTGCAATTCGTTAGCCTCGCAACTAAAATCAACATTTCAATTAACAGGAATTTGATGCAATTTTTAGTGGAAAACTCAGCAGCAATATCAGCACCAAAAGCAAGTCAAATTTCTATTTAATTTGCGGCAGGCGAGGCCAACGAATAGGACGAAGTTCGTCAAACCAAAACTCAAAAGTGACGAACTCTGTCCGGGCAGCGGCGACCCCTCTCATCAGACAAGAACAACAAGAATTATTTGAAAACAGAGTGGAGAAGGGACACACAAGCCAAGAGGCCAAAAAGGAGGCGGCTGCCGGTTGGGGACGAACTAAAAGTAGAAGCAGAAGATGGACAAATGAAAAGCATAAGGAAAAAAGACAATATTGGACAAGTTTTCACACACATGCCACAGAAATTGAGAAAGAGGTAGAGCAAGAGATGGGACTGGAGAGCGAGCAGCGGGTTGAAGGAGGTGCAGGGCATAAGCCGTGGGCAACGGCCAGAGTAAAGAAACATCCTGACGAGATGTAAAGCGACAGCAGAGCAGCAAAGGCAACAGCCGTTTCGTTTGACTTGAGATTGAGTTGATGACGAAAAAGATGACAAGTTGAAAATTTTTCTAATGAAGGACCTTTTGTCGCACAAGGGACACCCACAGAAACGGACAGAAAAACACACACACACACAGACAGGGAGACATGCAAACCGATGGGCAGACATGCGCTTACACTTGTATAATAAATATATATATATATATATATAAGGCAGGAGCAATATGAAAGAACTCAACCTACTAACCGAAGCTGAACTACTCTTAGCATGGCCATCTAATAAGAAGTAAAGCCGAGTGGAAAACTTTAAATTGATTAATTTATGGAATCAGATGTTGAAGGTTATCAAGAAATTGATTCAGTCTTACGTACTTCCTTTCGAATTAATTAAACAATATCTTTACCCGTTTGCTGATTTGTTCAAGTCTAAAGATAATCTGACAGGGTCCTGGTTTTTCAGATTTTTTTTCATTCAAAGCTTGCATCAAAACTTATCTGAAGAGTAAAGGAAAAAATGAAGTGTTCTTGCTGTTGTTGGCGTCGGTGTCTCGACTTTGAAGCATGAGAAATTACAAAGTTACTCGCCTCCAGTTGTCAATCCGTTGAAGGATCTTTGTTATCTGCTCCAATGCACATGCGGGTGGCTGTCGAACGGGGGGAGCGGACTGGGGTATTATGACCAAGACGTTTGCCCCGGCGAAGATGTTGTGGAAGATGATGTCCCTGAGTGGATAGATAAAGGATTTGTGATAAATGAAAAGCAAGTGGCGTATAAAAGCAAAAACGTAGAGAAAAGAAAAATATGTGTGTCGCTCGTCCGAATGACGAGACTGACAGACTAATGGACTGACTGACAGACCAACAGGTCGTTCTGCCATATTGGCGGCCCAACATTGTTATCCTGTCGTCATCTCGGCTGACATCTTCGTCAACGGCAGATGTACACGTAGTTCCTGCTCCTCCTGCTACCATTTTTGTAGTTCACTTCTAGGCGAGTGCATCAGCATCAGCACAGCTGGGGGTTAGTTTGACCAGCGATTATGTTGAATATGATATATATTTTACACATAGGTAGGTAAGTTGAGCAAAGCATATCTCTTAGATATAACCTATTCGGAAAGAATAACCAAATTGTATTTTTTTTCGTAGACTTACAGTCGATTCTTTGCTATTTCTACAGAATGTGGGAGATGAGTTCAAATAAATTGCAAAAATAAATTGAAAATATGAAATATCGAAGGTTGGCATCGTATTGCCTTTGCCCATAAAATGTTAACGAATGATTTATCCTTCCGCTTGTATATCTGTGTGTCTGTGTGTGTGTGATTGGCGATTTGTACGTTGCTTGTCAGCGTTGTCCATTGTCAATTCGTTTGTTGTCACATGCGTGTCCTGCGGGGTTGTTTCATCATCTTCTTCGTCTCCAGTAGCAGCATCAGCATCAGCATCAGATACAGCACTGCCATCAACATCTGAGCAAAGAAAAATGAGCTGCACAGCTTTCTGGTTTGATTGAAGGTTGTGATATTTGACAGATTCGATTGAAAATCCTTTGGGCAAGCAAGCAAGCAGGCAGGCAAGCACAAGGCGAACTCGTTACTCGACTCGATTCGATTGAGTGACAGACTGACCGGCCAACTGACAGCCAATCCGACCGTACACCAAACTCGGACAGCCCCAGACTGGACCGTTGCGGACCCATCAACTCGATGGGTGTTGCAGATTGTGACAGCGGCAAAAGGGTAAATATAGCTGAAGTGGGTGGGCAGATACTCTCTGGAAATAAATTGAAAGTGCTGTGAACGAAAATTGACGAGCTGCCATTGTAGGCGATGGCGAGGAGTGAAGAGTTGAGTGAAGAGTTGAAGGTTTATATACTATTGAGGGATCCTTCCGTTACAGTTTGTCTGATTGACTGAAAGGTGATTGAACTTATTTGCATAAAATAGCCAAACGTAGACCGGTACCCCTCTAGTTTTTCATTGTCAGTTTGGACTTTAATTTTTGGCAATGCAATCGAAAATCGACAAGAGATGGAGTTGAGTCTATGTTATTGGAATGAGTCTGGGATCTGGTGAGTGCCAGACAATTGCGTCTTGCGGTTTGACAAAAATACAGAAAAAGACATTTCGCAAAAGACAAATGCAATGTTCGATTGGTGGAGGGGTGGAGAGGTGGAGCGGTGTAGGGGTGGGGCATAACACATCTGTTTCGTACAAATTCATTCATTCAATTGTTCCCAGCCAGACAGGAAGACATGAAAGAGGCGCCGCTGGTTTGGGAGCGACACTCAATTCCGTCAACAGAAAAGTTCAATCAGAAATTAAGAAAACAGCCGCAGCGAAAAATTGTCGATAGGCAAGACGCGAAAAACTTTGCACCCTGCAATGCCAATGGCAAATGGTAAATGAAAAGAAAATGGCATTAGACAATGAAAGAACTCAAGGAAAAGCAAACTCCTGAGCTGGATGGCTGGGGGGGGGGCCCGGAACATTTCATCGCGTGTCGAAGACGCATTTGAAGGCTCGACGACACTTCAGACACTTCCGCAGCCTACGACAACGTCGCATGATTGCCTGAAGTTGGGGTAAATCAGTATTGGCGAAGACATGAAAATACAGTTTTCAATGATGCAGATTAAAATCTTTAAATTGTTCAAATAATGAATTAGCTTAGCTTTCGCGTGTAATTTTCATATTGCGAGGTAAAAAGTATGTGTATAAGATAGAACTTTAATCGCTTTGTACTCCACTTAAATAAAGATCTTTGTGTGAATTTCTAGCTCATTTGTATAACTCGCTTTTTGCACTAATTATTTTGTAACTGTTCTCAAAGTTTTCAAGTCCGGTTTGAAGGCTTAGTCTTTTTTGGATCCTATGAAATATTATGCAATTCATTCTGCAGCTGAACAGACTCGTGTGTTGATTGAAAAAATAAACGATGTGCGCATAAATTTTGCGACTGGCAAATGCCACAAATTCAATTTACGATTAACAATCCATTTTGTATCGAACGATCGCAGGTTGACTCTTGGCCCCATTCGTTAGGCTCTGGGACTGTGGGGCCCAGCCCAGTTCAGCCCCAGTGGAACCCACTAAGCAACACACAACACCCGCCACACACACACACACACACACACACACACACTTTGCAATAGCATTTGAGCGGATTCACTTACATATTTCATTTAGTTTATTTGCATTCCGCCACATGACTTTGTCAGGTTTCAACTTTAACTCTAGCGTTACTACAGAGTTTTGATTCCCAAACTTCCTTGGTTTTCGCTGGGGAAATTGTAGTGAAGGCGGATCGATCGCAGGCACTGATCAAAGTCAACGGCTCACAAAACTTACTCAGCCTACAGATAAAAGATACAGATACTTTGCTTTGAGCTAGTTGCGTATCTTTTGCTCACTCTCGCTCTCCATCTCTTGTGGCATGCCGCTGCCATTGCCAGAGGCATATTGTGGCCGCAGTGCAATTTTTATTGTTGGCATTATTATCGTCAGATGTCGCTCACTAATTGATTTTTCTTGTCGCCTGCCTCGTCGCAAGTTCGCTTGTTGGTTCGTTGCCTCTTTCTTTGGCTCTTTCGACTCGATCGACTCTCGGATCGTTGCCCGATCTGAATGATTGGCTGTGTGGCTGTTGTTGTTGCTGTTGTTGTTGTTAATTTGGTTGCGGTTGTCGCAGTTGCTTGCAAATTTTGTGCGCACATGACACTTGCCGGGGACAGCCAACATCAGCGCTGCCAGTGCTGCCAAATGTGTCAAGTTGTCGCTTACATTAATAAATTTTGCGTGCATCACACTCGCACTCTTTATCTCCCACTCTTCTCTCTCTCTCCCCCCTAACTCTATTTTTCTCTCTCTCTCTCCTTCTCTCTCGCTGAGCTTCAACTTACTTCTTGAGCTTGTGATATTTGATCTTACATTATGCATTTTTATCTAAACATGTCAATGACAAAAGGAATTAACTTAAATTTTACTACTTTTTCAATAAAACTACTGAAATATTCTTGAATATTTATAATACGAATAAGAAATAATTTGAATATTAGTGGACTTATATTATAATAATTTAACTTTTGAATTGTACAAAATTCTCTACAAAGAGTATCTAGGAAACTGGGATTCTTTGATTTGGGTGCCCTGTTTGGCAACTAAACCAGGGAGAATCGATGATCGAGGCTGCGATTTGGTTGTTTTGCTGTTTGGTGTTGTGTGTGTGTTGTTGTGTTTGCCTGCTTGTTTGCATTGACATTTTGTCACTTAATTTGTTGTTGCCGTTTGCTGCAGGTTGCTTGGTTAGTTGGTTAGCCTGGTCAGCTAACTGGTTTGGCTTTTGCTATGGCTATGGCTTTTGGCTGTGGCAGCTGGTCGGCTGCTGGTCGGCAATTGCCTCAGCTGCAATGGGTCTGCAATTTGTTGGCCGATCGTAGATAGGGCAATTTTAATTGGACTTAACGGAAACTAGCAAAGAAATGCATGCAAAGCATCCAAAAAGGAGAAAGGAAAAACAGAGCAGGGATGGTGGTCGAGAGGGATGCAGCATGTCAAAGTCTTGGTAAAGAGCTGGTAAATGTGCTGGGTCTGGCTGTGAATTGAGCTATCTAAGAGTGATCATAGCAGCAGTGATTGCACGTTGATTGTGGCAGTGGGATTTCAGCGAGTGAGATCAGCCATTGACAGGAGCACACAGATCGTGAGAAATTCTTTTTCTATGTCAATTCCCAACTGATTTTCACAGCAAGTTAAAATTCCAGTCAAGTGAATAATATCAAAACCTCGTCTCAATTTATTCACGCGTTCCTAGAGCAACATAGACACTTTGTACTTACCCTTCAACAACTCTAATCAAAGATCTAAAGTCTTCTGATATCTAAATGAAGCAAAAGATAGTAAATGTCAGATGTTATTGGTAAAACTAAAAATGTTTGTTTTTAAATATTAAAAAAAACGAATACATTTTCTAAAATTGTTTAGACAGTACAAGCGAATTTGCGATTTTTACATATAAGCCAGCTGTTTCCAGAACTTTCAATGCTTGCCTGCTATGATTGATTTGACTGAGCAACGTAATCTAAACTCTTTCTTCATCAGCGTCATGGAGGGGAAGTACTGGGAATGGCTCTAACTGGCACTGGGTGCCGACGTCTTGTGGAACACCTGCGCCATTATTTTACGTTATTGTCGCACATAGCGGCGCCAATATATCATTGATAGCCGATGACGACGACGATGCCACTGTTGCTGCTGCTGTTGCTGCTTCTGGTTCTGCTGTTGCTGCTGCTGTTGCTGGCGACGACGAAAACGACTCATATGCCACACTGCAGGCGTATGTATATATATGTATATGTGTGTGTGTGTGAGTGAGTGTTCCACGTCGTGGATGTTGCACATTTCTCAGACGTCACAAAGACTCCTGGCCCCGCTCGATGACCGAAAGGGGGAATTGGGCTGTGAATGGGCCAGGCTGGGCTGTGGTCGGGTCTGTTCTCTTCGGTTCGGTTCTGTTCTGTTCTGGTTGGGTTGGGTTGGTTAGATGACTTATGTTAGGTGCCGCTGCAGCCGGCACATCCATCATCTATCAAAGACGAATTCATCTCCGTCAAGTCGCTGGGCGTGCGCTTTGAATGTGGGCTACAAACATTTATGAATAAATTGCACGTACGACGACAACGACGACACCTCATCTCATGGCAACAAATACAACGAGTGCAGCAGCAGCAGCATCGTCATCGTCATCGTCATCCTCATTCACATCGTCATCGTCATTTTCGTCTTCGTCGTCATGTCAACCCACTTGGTCGGCCTAGCCGCGTTGCAGTGCCAAATGAGGGCAGCAATCGCTGCCAGCGTTGCCATTGGACCCGTGTAGACCAAAACTGGCTAAGGGGGATGAGAGGGTGCGGAGTATGAGTGGGGAGCCAAAAGTGGGGTTAGGGGAAGTTTACGTCGTGGACACACGGATACGAAGAAGAAGACGATCATCATTTGCTGCCGCCAGAGGAAATTTCAAATTTATTATCGCATTTGCCATTATTTATGATTTGTGCAAAATCTTGTCGTATATCAAAGTCAATGGTGTGACATAAACTATCGATGGCTATCGATAATTTACGTCAACTCTTTCCAACTAATAACAACAACTGTAGCAGCAGCAACAACAAAAAATAATGATGATGATGCGAATGACGCTGCTGACAGTCTGCTGTTTTGGAATTCACTGTTAGTAGGAAATACATTTGCCGACTCGCATCCGGTTCAGCGGCACCTCCTCTCAATGCGGACGTGCTTAGCTCGCTTCAAATGGATGATCCACTTGGATGCATTAATCATTAAAATACTATGTTTGTGAGTTCATAATGGTTGATCATGCCACAAGCTTCCCACGCTCAAAGTCAACAAACAATTTTGCTTGGCTTTTACACGGGACTACAAAAAGATTTGTGTGGGAATATTGAAAATTATACGTGAAAATGAAATACTTATTATTAATACTTTCCGTTTGTTTTTTGTAAATATTAGTTTCAGGTTTTACACACTTTATAATTCAGTGTGTAATGCATTAATATATTTTTTTCGTAAAGCATTATTATTTGGAATATCGCAGCTTGGTTGGTTATTAAGGTGATGTAACTTTGAAACTCATGCAGTAACTAATTCCATTAGGGCCTAAACTTTGGCAAATAACTTCATTCAAATCGCCAATTATTGGGAAGTCACCGAAGTCAGAACAAACATCAAAGTGACTTCAATTGCTGTGCTGAAACGACTTGAGCGCTAAGAATTTACAGTTGCATTATACGGAGGACTTACAATCGCACACACTTATATATAAACACATACTCGGGCACTCGGGCACCCAGAGAGGGCTGGCAAGTTGTGCCGGAAAAATCTCTCACATAATCATAAAATGACTTGGAAAAAGGAAATTCTAGCGACAGATTTATGCACTCGAGAAAGCTTTTGCGCCGTTGCATTTCAGTACGACTTCTCTCATGGATTGGAATCCCAGGAAAAAGACCAGAGGCCATGGAGGACTGCACTCAGCAACAACAGCAGCAGCAGCCATTCCTCCGCTAAAATGTGATGGCGGCGCAATTGCTTGAATTTAGTTGCAATTATTTTTAATGTTGTTTACTTACACTTCAATTGATGATGCCAATAACTGTTTCAAAACTTTTCCCTCAAATCGATATACAAACTTAGTACAAAGTATATATGTATTTTTCCACAAAATATTGTAAAGAAGGAACTACTCCTTAATGGGTTAGCTATAGGACTCCAAAGAAACAGAAATATATTTGATATTCCATACAGATGTGAACGATTCTGGGGCAGAATTCAGAGTAAACTTAAAGAGGTTGCCTTGGCTGGCTGTATAGGATTCGTCAGACTTAATGCCATATTTGATAGACTGAAAACGCATTCTTTACAGTAGAGTGGGTAATGTAAGCGATCTGAAAAGTATTTCATAAATAATCCCATGAAATTACCGCACGCAGTAATCATTTGAGCAGCTTCTGCTTTCATGCGTATTTGAGGCATTGTCAATTACCATTTCAGATGACGACACGCTGTCCTTGTGGACAAGGACACGCCAATAGACACGAGTCGATCTAGAAAAACTAATCAAATGCCGCTGCCGAAAAACAAAAGAAAAAAAAGCAGATGAGTCCTCACTCGGCACGTGAACAGCTCGGGAGTATGAAACATTCATTTGACGCATGCGACATGACACATCTAAAGAAGACGGAGTCGGAGTTGGAGTTGGAGCTGGAGCTCGAGCACAGGCTGGAAGTGATGCGCGAATTTGATATTATTGTATATGGGTGTGCGTGACGTTGCATCACGGATGAAATGGATGGGAATCGTGATGGAAGCGCGTCGAGCATAACAAGAGCTACCAACTGACGCCTGATGCTGCATTGCCATCGGGAGTCGGTGCCGGTGTCGGAATCAGAATCACATCGCATCAATGAAAGTGGTGCCAAGAAGCAGCAGCAGCAGCAGCAGCGGCAGCAACCCCGAGGCAACATTTGGATAGCGCCATTCACACGTACCGCTCATACATATCGCAGACAGAGGGAATCAAGTTTAACCTTATACAAGCAGCAAAGGACGAAGGACGCGTTGTGGGAGACAACACTTAAGGACACACTCACATTAGGCTAACAACTGTTAGAGGCGCTTAAAACAATGTTTGAATTGGCAACATTGCCAAGATGCTGAAACATATTAACTGATCCTGCTGCCATACAACAGAGCTAGTAAGCAATTCTGTGTACACATTTTTTATGTAATTTAAGAAATATTTAACAAAAATGCTTGTCGGCGGCTAGACTTCAAGAGTCTGATTTTGTTTTTTCAGCAGAGATGATTATAACATTTTTTTTTAAATATTATTAATTGCTTTTGTTTTTCGCAGTTTTTATATTTGTTGCATATAATAAATTCTACCTTCAAATGCATAATGAGATGCATTTATAGGTACCCCAATATTGTCTATATACTATACTGAAACGACGGGGAAGTTGTTCAATTAAGGAAAGAGCTGACAATGAATCACAAGGAGAAATCAGGGAGTTCTAAGTAACTAACGACGCAAAAGTCATATGGAAGGCATTCGACATATATTGCCCAGACTATAATATTTAGTTCTATTACCGTCAACTTCGAAAAACACATAAATTGATATGATATGATATATATGTAGGTAGGTTGTGGGAAGGTATTGGATCTGGTAAATACCCAGAGCTGTACATTTGTGTCCTTTGTTAACCGCTGGTAACAGCTAATGTTATTTCGCAATTTTCAGAAGCCATGTCACAACCCTCTAAGCGAGCACATTCCAAGAGACCGCAGTTTTGCGGCAAAGCTAAACCAAAATTATGGTTCAACGCTGCATCCCAGG